AATAACTTCCTCTTTCAATATTGGTAACCAGATCCTACTACATTCTGCCGAGGAATTTGCGACACAATTGGCCTCATTTAGCATAATTAGAGCCGCTTCTTTGATTTTTCTTTTTTTACCATCCGTTTCTTTTAGGACTATATTTGAATTATTCCATTGAACTCTATGTTCATTATCCCATGCGTGTGTACATATTTGAGATCTATCAAATTCTCTATTTTTAATATAATATTGATGTTCACTTATTCTAACATTTAATGGCCTTGATGATTCACCTAAATAAAACTGATCGCATTCACAAGGTATTTTATAAATGCAATTCTTTGTCCTTTCTTGTTCATTGTTAGGTTTGGTTTTGGACAAAATCAAACCTAACAATGAACAAGAAAGGACAAAGAATTGCATTTATAAAATACCTTGTGAATGCGATCAGTTTTATTTAGGTGAATCATCAAGGCCATTAAATGTTAGAATAAGTGAACATCAATCTTATATTAAAAATAGAGAATTTGATAGATCTCAAATATGTAAACACGCATGGGATAATGAACATAGAGTTCAATGGAATAATTCAAATATAGTCCTAAAAGAAACGGATGGTAAAAAAAGAAAAATCAAAGAAGCGGCTCTAATTATGCTAAATGAGGCCAATTGTGTCGCAAATTCCTCGGCAGAATGTAGTAGGATCTGGTTACCAATATTGAAAGAGGAAGTTATTAATAAGAAAATACCAGTATTAGTAAGTCAGTAACATATAGAGGATACATCATTTATGTTTTTTAATTACGTAACATATAAAATCAGAATTTTGATGTTTGTTGAAGGTAAACTAAATTCACGAACCAATACTTACAATGTCGGGATAGTATTATGAGGTTTTTTTCCTGGTTTTTCCCTCATAATTTACTATGGAATCACTAACAGGAGAATTTTACTGTCATCATGTCATGTATTTGTCTTTTTAAAGACGAATTACATGCTATGATTTTTTCTGACGGATATTCTCAAGTTAAAGTTGATTTCATCTAATCGAATGAACTATCTTATAAGTAAAGTCGTCCCAGGAGCGCAACTCAACAATATTGGCAATATCATTTTAAAGTCGTCTACTTTAAAATGCATAATGTATGTCTGAATTGTCAATATAAATGAGTCAGATAAAATTAAATTATTAGAAGAATTTTTTCACTATGTAACAAAAAAACAAAATTTGTTTAATTTACTATTTGTATTTTGAGAACGATTTCCGAATTGGAAATTGAAACGTCAATAAACGTATTTTTATCTTTAATTGTGGCTTATTCACAGTTATAAATAATAATTAATTTACAATGCCACAAGAAAATAGCTTCAGAACAATATTGGAAGTACACATTCAGAAAACTCGTCAATAGAGTCTAGCGTAGACGACGATCAAGAAACCCAAAATAAAAACTTATGGCAAATAGTCAAAAAACGTAAATTTTCAAACAACAATTTTACCAACAAAAAAACAAAATCGATACAGTGCATTATCAAACGCCGAGAGCGCTGAACAAACCGAAAAAGAAAAAACAACATGTTTTTTCTTTTTCGGTTTGTTCAACAACAACGATTCGGTTTCGGCAACAACAACAAAAACAAACAATATGACTTCAAAAACTTTAAAGATATGGTCGATAACTTTGCACAAATTGTGAACGAAGAAACCTACTATACCAGAACTCTGCTAAACGACACTGTCAAGATTACAACATATGCAACAGATAAATATCGTAAACTGATAAGATATTTCCGAGAAGAAGAAATCGTTTACCATACTTACCGAATAATGGAAGAACAGGCCTACAGAGTGTTATTAAGACATATCCATCACTCTATACCTACAACAGATATTAGAAATGAACTAGAAAAGGCCGGCCATAAAGTTTGCAATATAACTAACATTCGACACAGACAAACAAAGGAACCCTTATCTTTATTTTTCATAGACTTTGAAAATAACAGTAACAATACAGACATATTTAAACTAGAATTCTTATGTGACACCAAAATAGCAGTCGAGGCACCAAATATGAGAAACTCAATCATCCAATACACGATGTCAAGCATACGGCCGTAGTAAAACATATTGCACTAAACCGCACTACTGCGTCAAATGTGGAGGACAATATGGTACAAAAGATTTTAAAAAACCTAGAAACACTCCAACTAATTGTGAAACACAAGATCACCCTGCTAACTATAAGTGCTGTATAGTCTACAGTGAATCAGAAAATAGACATATGCAGAAGAGACGAAACCAACAGCCTCAAAGAACAAAATTCAACAGCCCACATGTATGTATTGAAACAAATCAGCTAAATAACCCTCTACAAAACCATCAAAGAAATACGCAAGCGTGACAGCACATCAAACCAACCAAGATTCAGAACCTAAAACTAATATAGAACAACTACTAACATTCCTAAACGAGTTCAAAAACATATTCTCGCAACTCATGAGTCAAATTAGTAAGTTAGTATAGGTATTGAACTAACTAACACAAGTCATTAACCAAAAAATTCTTAAACATACTTAGAGTTGCTACATGGAATGCTAAAGGCCTGCCAAACCGTAAGCAGGAAGTAATTACTCTCTTAAACCTGAATATAATTGATGTTTTCTGCTTATTTCAGAAACCCATTTTATCGTTTTAACTATGTACGTTCAAAATTCCGTTTTATAACACATACAGCATACCTCACCTCGATGGTACAGCCCATAGTGGTTCAGCGGTAATCATCTGCAGCTGCATATCTCATCATGTAGTGCTAAAATATGCAACAGAAAAATAAAAGCAGCAATCGTTCAAGTGAATGCAACGCCATGGCACTTTAACATATCTGCTATGTATAGCCCACCTCGTTACTCAATCTCCACAGATGAATACAAAGCCTTCTTCCAATAACTTGGAAGTAAATTCGTAGCCGGGGGAGACTGGAATGCGAAACACATACACTGGGGCTCAAGACGCATAACAACAAAAGGTCGTAATTTCTAAAAGCAATGACCGACAAGAACTATGTTGCCAAAGCAACGCAATATCTACGTACTGGCTGAGTGATCCCAGAATGCTTCCAGATCTACTGAACTACTACATAAGCAAACTGAACGCAAACCAACACATACCACAAATGTTCCCTTGCACACTCACCAACTCAATTCAGAAAAACGTCGTGGGATGAGAACCTGGCAAAGTATTTATTCAATATATTACGTAGGCAACTTGGAGTTTATTATATTACAAACCTTACAGCAAATAATCAGACATTATGGAAGGCGTCTTTGCTGAACATATTACAAACGTATTTCAAACAGAGCCAGCAGACCCTGATGAAGAAGTGGAAGAACTAATTAGCGCAGCATGTCAAATGTCCCTCCCAATTAAAAGTTTTACGCGTATATAAGTCAAGAAAGAAATAAACAAACTTAACTCACGAAAGGCCCCAGGTTATGATTTAATCTCGGCACAAGTACTAAAACAACTTTCTCGCAGAACCATTACTTTGCTAATAGTTATATTTAACCGCATGGTAAACTTATCATACTTTACAAAAATATGGAAATTTGCTGAAATCACTATGATGATTATTATATGCTGAAATCATATGAGTCCAATGAAGTAACATCTTATCAACCCATCAGCCTACTTCCAACCGTAAGCAAAGTTTTTAAGGATTGCTGCTGAAAAGTATATACGCAGATCATGAATTTCTATTATTATTACCAAAACATCAGTTTGGTTTTCGGGAAAATCACTCCACTATCCAACAAATCCATCGAATGGTAAATGAAATATCAAAAAGTCTTGAAGAAAAGAAATACTGCAACGCTATATTTCTAGACATCTCACAAGCGTTTGACAAAGTCTGGCACAGAAGTCTGCTTTACAAAGTAAAAATAGCACCATCCAGTAACTAGTTACTCCTACTTAAATCCTACATATTAAATAGATATTTATCTGTAACATTCAAAGACCAACAATCCAGCCTCTGTCCTATTAACCTCGGAGTCCCGCAGGGTAGTGTTCTAGGGTTGCTGCTTTTCTCACTCTACACAGCCGTTATACCAGAGACTAATAATACTACAATCGCTTCCTTTGCTTACGACGTAGCAATACTAGTTGTATATGAAGATCTCATACAAGCCTCCTGCAACAAAACCTGCAACATCATTTGAACATACTTAGTGATTGAACAAATGAAGAAAAAAAGTAAATAAAAGACAATCAACTCAAATAACGTTTACCAACCGTCACAACATATACCCACCTGTAAGAATGGAAAATATAAGAATACCAACAGCAACAGACGCTAGATACTTTGGCCTCCACCTTGACCAACGTCTCAATTGAAAGAAATAGATCCAGACCAAAAGAAGACAGCTTAACTTAAAATTTCGGCAAATGTAGTGGTTCCTTAGACGTAAATTAAAACTTAACATCCTAAACAATTTTTTATACAAAAACACACTTAAACTTATCTGGTTCTACGGACTACACCTATGCAGCTGTGTAAAAGCAATGTCGCTGAATATCATCCAACGATTCCAGTCTAAAGTGCTAAGATCAATAGTGGATGCACCATGGTACGTAAGTAATCAAACACTTATTAAAGATTCCTTTCATCAGAGAAGAAATCCATCGAGCCACGGATTTACAAAATGAACGTACCATTCACCATGAAAATGAGCTAGTAAGGGAATTATGCAATAATGGTCCAGCCACAAGAAGACTAGATAGAATCCGGCCCCAAGACCTACTTCAAAACTAAACCAAAATAGAATAAGGGGACATCATTGGACATCTCTCCTTTACGCTCAAAACCTGTAACACATTTACTTAATAGTTTGTATTGATATAGATTGTAAATAAACATAATTATAAAAAAATATTTATTTGTAAAACAGTAAAAAATGTAAATAGATCCAAGAATAAATTAGGAAGAGATATTCTCCAATGTAATTATAAATTTATTTACCTTTTCTAGTTCCCATGGATCGAAGCCTTAGAAAGAAGTTATTTGGTCGCCCATTAAATTCTTGTGAATAGGCAACTTCCTTTATTAATTCAAATGAAGAAACAATTACCAATTTTTCCGCTCCCAATTTTAAACCTATTACATTGGAGTCGTACATTTCTGTTAATTTTGTGAACGCTTTGTGTTGACCTCCTAACGCTTTGGAAAGATTTCTCATTGCGTAGAAGTTTCCTACAATTGGATACCATGTTGGCCCTAAAAATTATTTTTGAACATTAATAACGAGCCATTGAAAAAAGTCGTAATTAGAGGATGCTGTCTAATAAAAACTGTAATAGATCACATGCATGTAAGTGGCGCTGGTGTCAGGGTTAGGTATTAAAACATAACCTTATTTTATTCTGCCATTTATTTACATTGTTTGGTACTCGTTTCCTAGATGGTATGCAATTTTGTGAGTGATTTAAGTTTTAATAAGTTATTTAGGACATTTAAATTGTTTGGACACTTTTACTAAAACTTTACAGTATGCCTTACAATTGTTGTGTGCCACAATGCAATTCAGTTTCCAATAAAGCTGACAAAGATAGGGTTCATAAATTCCATGTATAAAACTATCAGCAAGCATACAAAATTCTGTTCCAGGCACTTTTCAAATGAAATTTGTACCGTTACAAGTTTGGGTAAGTTAAAAAAAACAAACAAAAAAAGCAAACAATAAAAGAATTATTACAAACAATTAAGAATGATACACAAAAGTGTGGTCCAACAGAGACACCTGCTAATGAAAAAAAATCATAGAATTCAAAACATGTATTACAACTCAAACTGTGATAACATGGAATAGAACTCAGTTAATTTCTTAGGACTTTTTGTCAGGAGATACATTTTACTGGTTTTTCAAGAAAATTATTTACATTTTTAAAAAAATTAATGGAAAAATTCCAGTAGTTGGCTGTATACCATACAAAAAACATACAGAAGTTAAAACACTTCACATGTGTATTTAGGTATAAAAAACATATAGTTAAAACTTTTAAAAAGTGTCGTCATTTATACAGTAGCATAACGTTTTCGATCTAATCAAATCATACTCAGTGCCTTCTTATGTAATTAAAGCTAACACTAAATTTGTAGCTGTGACATCCATATATGGTTTTACATTATTCCAAATTTAAATTATACTATGACTCTAGGTCGATGACATTGGAAACAAATGAATACTTGAGGAGCTACATGTCTCCTTGCTCTGTTTGAACACGTGGTTCTTGTCAGTTATGTTTTTTCACAGTATAATTTAAATTTGAAATAATGTAAAACCATATATGGATGTCACAGCTACAAATTTAGTGTTAACTTCAATTACATAAGAAGGCACTGAGTATGATTTGATTAGATCGAAAACGTTATGCTACTGTATAAATTTTGACGACACTTTTTAAAAGTTTTAATCGTACCGAAATTCCAATAGACCGAAGCATTGACCCTATTATACAACAAGCAACATATCCTACATATTATGGAACCAATACCTTTAAAATACATAGCATGATCTGAAAAAGGTAAAATTATAGGTGCGGATCTTTAGGACTTATTGAAGAAGGATAATTTATTTTAGCGGCCAGGACTTTTGATATATCAGATCTTATAGAGGAAAAAATAATATACAGTGGAACCTCGATTATCCGTCAGGGCACCGGACCAAGGGTATGACGGATAATCGAAAAGACGGTTAACAGAACATTAAAAAAATTCATAGTATAACTCTCAAATTTTATTTGTATGTTTTATTTGACAATATAAGAGCGATTTATGTTAGTACACTCGAATCAATTTGATATAAATTATTGCGAAATCTGTGTTTGTTTTATTGTTACTTCACATTTTGCAACGGCTGAATTTCTTAATCGACGTACAATCATCAAATCTACCTTATTTGCTTCTTCTTGCCGAGAATACCACTTGATGAATTGTTGTATTTGCGATGCAGCTCCTCTAGCTTATTTACGCAAATCTTTGTGAGTTGTAATAGCATCATCAACATCGCCACCATCAAAGATTTTGTCAATTTCTCAATCAGTTTCGTCCCCCTCGGTTGCCATTTCACCGATTTCATCATCTGTCACCAATCGGTAGCCGTACTCATCACAAATCAACCATTCGTTTATCATCTTTAGGCAACGAAACAAAACAGTTGATTCAGCCATAACTTCATTTAAGTGGAACATTTTCATCTTAAGTAGATTCAGGCCATAATTTATTCTACGCTCTTTTCAGCGTTACTTCCGAAACATCAGCCCAAATATACACAGCATTGTCGACAGCGTGTTTTAAATTGTATGCTTTCCAGTATTCTGGCAAAGAATATTACTCTTCCATAACTAGGTTTTGAATAATTTTTTTCTGTATCTTCTTTTGAATGTTTTAATGACCGACTGATCCATTGGCTGTATCATTGATATTGTATTCGCAGGCAGAATAGAGTACGTGATATTTTTATCGTCACTCCGCAGCATACCGGCTTTAGGATGGACAGGTTCATTGTCCAAAATGAGAATCGTCTTTGGTGGAAAATTTTTTGCAAACAAAATGAATTGATGACTAAACTTTTACTTATGTTGTCAATCTAACTTATGTATGGACCCTGACGGTTAACAGAGGTGACGGTTAATAGAGAGACGGATAATCGAGGTTCCACTGTACTTACATATACCTCCATTTAAAAAAGGAGCTCAGTTAAGAGAAGAAGAAATAATAAAAACAAGGGCCGTTGCCAATCTTATAGGCAGCTGCTCTGAAAAGATCTCCATCCAATGGCACTACAGCCTAAATCAGGCCTTCTCCTCCTTCAACAATCTTCTCCAATTATTTCGATTTACCGCTGTTCTTTTCCCTGAACGCGTTCCCAGGCAGTTCCCGGCATCCCTTTTTAGGTCTTCCAACAGGTCTTTTTCCCTGCATTCTTGCGTTTAGTAATTTTCTGGGGATTCTATTCTTATGCATGCCCTGCCCACCTTAATCTCTGCAGTTTAGTGTATTGTGCTAAAGTTGGTTCGCTATATTGTTCGTATATTTCTCTATTATGCCTAATTCACCAGTTGTTGTTTTCACTTATTGTTCCCAGTATTCTACGTAATATTTTTTTGACCCGTGATTTAAATGTGCGGCCCATCGCGAAATAGGCATTATTTACCAGCACAAGCCTTCTATTTATTTCCGGTTCTTCTTCATTGCTTGTGACCAGATCCATTCCTAGGTATGTGAATCTATTCACATGTTCTATATCGTCAATAAAGTGTTGTTGCGCCGCGCCGGTCTATTAGTGTATGCTGCTAATTGGGTAGATTTGTTTCTAAGTATGTTATTTCCGCTCACCGTCAACCGTCTAATTACATATTCAAGAACAAGATTAAAGAGCGTTGGAGCCAGTCCGTCGCCTTGTTTCAGTCCTTGCGTTGTCGTAAACGCATCAGCGATCTATCCTTTAATACATACCTGTGCTTCTGTTTCTGTCATTGTCATTTGCACCAGTATTATTTTGATGGTATGCCAAATTCTTAAAATATATTAGGTAGGATTGTTCTATCTATTGAATCATAGGCTTGTTTAAAATCTACAAAGAGATTGTAATATTCCCATGCTTTGGCTAGTATTTGTTTAACTGTAAATACTTGGTCAATGGTAGATCTATTTTGCCTAAACCCTGCTTGATATTCCCTGGTGATTTTTTCCGTGAGACGTTGAAGTCTTCGATTAATGATGTTTGCGAGTATTTTGTATCCAGAACAAAGTAAAGGGATGCCTCTATAATTCTGACACAACGGTTTGTCTTCTTTTTTTTTATAAATAGGGCAGATTATACTCTATTTACATTGTTGTGGGATTTCTTCTTCTATCCATATCTCTCGTATTAGCTGGTAAATCTGTTGTGTCAAATTCATTTCCCCGTGTTTTAGTAGTTCTGCCGGTATTTTATCTATTCCCAGTGCTTTATGGCTTTTTTGTATGTGGATTGCCGTTTGGACCTCCTCCAGCGTTGGGGGTCTAGCTAATTTATTTTCTTCTCCATCTTCCGCCAGCTCTTGTTATTGTACCTTCTGCCGTGCCTGTTGCGGCCTCTGTTGTTGTAATGGTGGTTGTGTTCTTTTGTTTGATAATTCCTTAAAATATGTAATATAGGTTCTTTTAATTTCGTCCATATCGCTAACGATTTCACCCTTCTTATTTTTGCAGTGGCTAGTGTTCGGTTTGTATCCCTGTCTTAAATTTTTGATAAATTGGTATGCACTACGTGTTTCGTTTTCCTCAAACTCCCTTTCTATGTTTAGTATCCGTTGGTTTTCGTACCTTCTCTTTTTCTGCCTGCACAGTTTATCTGCTCTTCGTCTTTTGATCCCAAATTCTGCTTTTCTCTCTCTAGTATGTCTGAGTATGTAATTTTTATGTGCCTCATTTCTTTCCTGTATAGCTTGTTTGCATTCTTCATCGAACCATGTTTCTTCTCTCCGTTGTGTCTTTGTTCCTAGAACTTCTTTTGCTGTGTTGAGTATGATACTGCTTATAATGTTCCATTGGTTTTCCATTGTGGATTCTGCTCTTAGGTTTCTTAGCCAGAAAATTCTTCGTCTTCCTATGGATCCTTGATTTTATCTTGCACTATGAGCCTTAATGTCTCATATTTCGCACCTCTGGTAATGTGGCCCAAATATACCAGCTTTCTTGTTTTGATGTGCTTTATGATCTCACAATTCTTAAAACTTCTGCATTTGTAACTCGTTAGGTCCTTAGTAATTTCAAAATCCTTCTATGCACAATATCTCAAATGATTCCAACTTCTGTATATTATCCACTTTTAGTGTCCAGCTTTCCATTCCACGCAATAAAGTCAGGAACACGTAGCATCTTAAGGCTCTTATCCTCCGGTCCAGAGGAAGGTCTCGATTAACAAACATTTTTATAAATGCTTGCCTTGCAATTTAAATGCATGTCCTTATTTCTCTACCTTGGTCATTGTTTTAATTTACCCAGGTTCCCAGATATTTTTAGTTATTCACTCTTTCTGCTTGTTTTCCCTCGATATCTAGCCTTCCTACTATATGTTGCTTAGAAATAATCATGCACTTGGTTTTCTTAACGTTCATTTGTAATCCATATTTTATACTGACTTGATGTAATCTATTTACTAAGCGTTGCAGTGCTTCTAGACTGTCTACAAAAACAGCGGTGTCGTCTGCGAATCTTATGTTGTTCAAGAT